AATACTTCATGGTTTTCTTACCACCAAGAAGGATTTCAAAAGTTCTGTCACCATATTTTTGTTCTTTGAGGAATTCTTCCGGAAAATCGGGATCATTAATAGTTTCTCTTTGTTGATTGATGGGCATTGCCTCTGAATAGAATAGAAAACGTTTTAGAAATTAAATGATTTCTGCGAATCACACACTACTCTTCATATATTACGCTTTCAGAAGTCGGAGTAATGTTTTCAAACCATATGATTTATCAAAAATATTCGAATTGAATAGTTTTTACATTTGTTTTTTATTTTATCTGATATTTATTCTCAGAGGTTTTTTTTCAATACGGTTCTATCTAGAACATTTTGAGATTAACCATAGAAATTATAAACACAGTTAGAATATCTTGTCAGAACGAATAATGTTTTGAATATAATGAAAAATAAAACGTTGAGATAAAGAAAAAGTGTACTTTGTATCGACGATAGCTGTCGATGATTGTATTAATACGCGTACAGGTATTTTGCATTGCAAAATATACTGAAATCATCAAGATAGTTAAGAATTCGGTAGATAAGTTCTTTCAGTAATGTATGAAGAGATGGCTTAGTTTTGTCAATCATTGTGGAACTGTTGCGATTTTTGTTCTTTCTATCGTGCGTGTGCTTGAAAGTTTTCTTTCATTTTAAATATTTATATTTGTTCTGTTTCATAAAGTTTTTCATGCTTGTGCAATTACTTATTGACATGTCGCATTGCACATGACTGAGTAACGACAATGATGAAATACAAGCTGTAACAGAAAATGTAGACCAACGCCATGGGTCTCTCGATCACTAAGCTTTACACCATTGACATAACTATATAGAACTCGATATAATAAAAATAGAACGCTCCATGGTTTGTTTTTAATTGTAAAATTTTTGTATTGAAGTCAAAGGTATTATACTTTTGAAGAATATTTATGAAAAATAACTAACTGTTCTTCTCTTTTACATAAAAAAAAATTATAAGATTAAGTTTGATCAATAAGGAAATTATATGTAATTCTTAAGTGGACACAATTTTTTGAATATTCTATATTTGTTTACTTTTTCTTTTATTGAAATTTGCAGTTTAATGACACTTATCATCCGTTCAATTGCTGCTTATGCATTAAATCATTCACTATACACTAGAAAAAATTTAAGAATAAAATCTAATGAAATACAGTTGAAAAGGAATATATGCGTTACTGAGAAGCGAATTTCGATAATTATCTATATGAACATAATAAACAAATACATGAAAACAAAAAACGACAACAGCATACTAAACAGCAATGAATAATTTTGATTGTTGAAATGATTGAGCTAATGATGCACTTAAATCAGATGTTATTACATTTTCAAATTTTGGTAGATCATTATTTTCTTCACTGAAATTTATTTTATTTATTTATACAAAATAATAAATAATTGAATCTATCCTGCAACATGTGTTATTAAATTATTCATAAATATAGTACAATGTTTTGAATTAGATACAGATCTTGTTTCAAGTAAATGTAAAAGTTTTTTAACCTATAAATAAAAAAAAATACAAAAGAATAATAATAAATAATAAACAAACAATTTGATGTTCATATCGATCTTAATCGTTTTCCTTCTGAATCAACTTATTGCTAGAATTATACAATAAACAATATAAAATGTTTTTTATTCGTGTTTGTTCACATGAAAATAGAAAAGGTGAGTAAATACGATTGAAAGTTTACTGCAAAAATTATGCAATTTACAAGTAAAATAAAGAAATCTTCGATTTTCAGTAATAGTTCATATTAGTAAAATAGAATAATCTCACTAGATTTATCTTTTATACATTAATTGTAAATATAAAAAAAAATACAAATAATACTAAACACAAATACAAATCAAGAATCCATTGAAGTTCATTCATTGAAAGAATTGTATAACAAATAGTAGGCTAGTTATTGCTGCTAAAAGTTTGATAGTGACTGTAATTGTTGTTGCTTCATTACATAAATCGCCTTTACAACAATATTTCACTTGATCAGTAGGTGTACAATCACGATCACCACTGCCTCGACTTTCCATACCGAGCACACTCATTTTCTACAAAGAATAATATTAAATCTAAATCTTCGACAAAGAAAAGTTTTAAAAAATATATATATGTATCTACTTGACAGTAATCATCGTCTCCAACAGTGACTTTGCTAACATCTTCTTCATTTCCCTTGAATGGTTGAGGACATGCAGTACAGTCATAGCATTGTCTAGCAATGCTTCCAATAATAATTACGTTAAGAAAGAAAAAAGATTTTAATCATATTCAAAATGCACAATTTAATAAAGAATACGAACGTGATAGTAACACGAAAGTAATGAAAAGTTTGGTATTCATATTGAATATCCATATATATATATATATACGTATATAAGAGTAGAATGTTGGAAAAAGGATGATGTACAACCTTATATATGGTTGATGTTATCCATTTTCTTATAAAGAGAGAGATAGAGAAAGAAGAAAATCATCATTTTATGTATGTAAGCAATCGATAGATTTTTTTTGATACTCTTCGAACGTTAAAGTCGTTTGTGATATAGTCAACTAATACGATGATATTTTAAGATCAGTTACGCTGTTTTTCTACATATAGTGATAGGAGTTGAAAAAATAAGACGAGCATAAAAGAAAATTATTTGATAGATTACATAAAAAAGTGAAAAAATATGCGTAATTCTATGTACACAATTTTTAACGATTATTAAAAATTTCTTTTGATCAAACATTTCTATTTTATTATCGATTATTAACATTTTTTTTTCATTCAATACGTTACATGATAATTTTTGCTATCTCCGAAATTGCAAAATATTGAGTTGAAACAAATGTTTTAGACTTTTATAAAAAATTATTTTATTCTTGAAAATAAACTCTAAAAGAAATCGTTAATGAATCAATATGCAGTTACTCGAAAGATGATACGTAGATACACAATAAGATTTGCATAGCAACACAGAAAAAGAGAAGAAAAAAAAAGGACGAGTAGAAGAGTAGAATAAATACACGTGTCAAACACAAGGATATTGAAAAATATTTAGTATGATTATGAATAGGACTCATATCAATGGGATCGAAATATTTTATTTCGTGTTCTCGTAATAAAAAAGATATCATTCAAAAGAGCGCGAAAAACTGCATCTAATAATGTAGTTTCCATGGAGGTGTACCCCCAAACCCATAGCAAAAATTAAAAAAAAACATTTCTTAATAAGTTCTATCATAATGTTTGGTTCTCTCGCTTTTTTGTTTTTTCTTCCTGCACATATCTCTTGAGAAAAGATGTATGTGCAAGAAGGAAAATAACTTCAATCATTATATTATTTTGTCAAGATTAAGTGAATTAATAAAATACCTTTTCCAATACAGATTATGTTTAGTTTTATAAACATGTAAAGAATTTATTTTTTCAAATGAATACAAATTTTATCTAATGATCTTGTTTTAAGTCCATCTATTGGTTTATCCTAACTCGTACAAAAACAAAAAGTCTTGATGAGATAAGATCATTACTAAAGTGTTCATGAAAAATTATTTTACATGTTGGTTGATATTGTTTCTTTTGTAAGTTCAACAGATGTTTGAATTGACAATAAAATTATGAAAAAAAGAAAATTAACATTGAATAAAAATAAAAAAGTTATTTTTTTCTCTTGGTTTGTGAAGATATATTTTAATATAAAAAATTACAAAGATTCATGTCTTAAAGATTTACGAGAATACAACAATAAGAAAAAGAATACTGACAACAAGAATAAATGAACAAATCGATTTATAAAAAAAAATAATGCTTTCTATTTTTTTTTTTTATCTTTTTATATCGATTGATATTTTTTTGTGATAAATAAAACACGTTTTAAACAAGTGGATGCACAAAGGAAAAATCTGACAATATTAGTTCGTATTAATTACTCGAGGAATTTCTTTCAGAAGTCAAAAAAAGACAAAAAAATATGATATTCCTGTTTGCCATGCTCTTTCGAATGATGTATTTTTTATTAGGAGTACATGAGATAAAAAATATCGACCTAGTTGATAGATATTCTTTCAGCCCCTACCCTTTGCTATCAAAAGCAAACTTTTACATATCAACTTGATACAAAATTCAGCGAAGTTTAGATAATATATCGTTCATATCCAACTGATGGTATGGTGACAAGATTATATATAGTGTTGCTATTTTTGTTTATGTGATGTTGTGGGCTGTAAGACGAGCAGTTACTTTGTTGTCAGTATTCTTTTTCTTATTGTTGTATTCTCGTAAATCTTTAAGACATGAATCTTTGTAATTTTTTATATTAAAATATATCTTCACAAACCAAGAGAAAAAAATAACTTTTTTATTTTTATTCAATGTTAATTTTCTTTTTTTCATAATTTTATTGTCAATNTATTTTATGAATCTGGTTGATTTCCTTGATTTTGTGGCTATTCAGAACATTAATCTATCTTCATAAATGATAATGAGTTCTAATGGATTCTGGTGGATCCTGATGGATCCTAATGGATCCTAATGGATCCTAATGGATCCTGATGGATCCTAATGGATCCTAGTGGGTCCTGGTGGATCCTATGGATCCTGGCGGATCCTAATGGATCCCAGGATCCACCAGGATCCGCTTTTTCCCCCTTGATTGAAGTGTATGGTGCAAATTCGAAGATATATGATGGATTACGTAAAATCAAAGCCATATAGGTAATGAAAATCGAAGTGGAATCACTCTGCACAAGTACTACATAATAAATGTTGGAAAAAGCTTTCACAGATGCTCAAAATATTACTTGTTCGTCAGTTGAGTTGACAAACAATATTATCTCATTGATTTACTACTTAACTACTGTATATCTGTAGGCTTCTCGTTTCTGAGTTGTCTATGACTCTTGCCCCACACTAAGGATTAGGCTAGATGACAATTGTATTTAATCCCGGTCTGCTACGGAAACGAGAAGTCATACGTAAAATAAAAGAAAAACATTCTTACCGGTTGTTGATATGTTGAAAAAAGGGAAATGGGGAGATAACGAATGAGATTTTATTAGTGTCAATATAAACACTAATATAACAATAACAGGTATAATATAATAGAAAAGAGAAAAAGGTAGGAAAACGATAGGACAGAATATCAGATATAATATATCACCGGTAAAGAGAAAAATAATAACTGGTTAGAAAATCACTAGATGAGAGAATAAACACTGGAAAAGTCCAGAGAAAACATGTTATCCACTAAGAAGATGGACGAAAATCTAATAGTGGGCAAGTGGATAGTTAGCGGTAATAGAGCAGCCTCCATTGACGCTAATAATATCAATGTAGCTTACTTGAGTTAACTTTTATCTTTCAAACAGTGTTCTTCAGCTATTGCTCTCATTTCATAGAAATTATCTGTAGTCGACAACATAATTGAAAATCACGTAAAAAATGATTAGTACTGAACATCATCATCATCATCACTACTCCAATCAGTTATTTTGCTCAATAACTTCTATTGAACAACATAGCAGTGATGAAAAAGAACATCGTCGAAAATAAAGAAATAATATGTTTTTCTTCAGATAAGAGATCGGGCAACTGACGAAGATAAAATTTTTGTGCGTCATTTCATGTCATTGGTCGTGTCAAACAAGTTAAAGAAAGTATCGCAACTAACAGAATCAATACATCAATGTATTGGCAGTAGCTATTTGTAATGATGTTGTGCAGATGTCGATGAGAACGAATAAAATGTGTCTTACTGATCCATATAAAAATATGAAAGGAAATGTTGACAATCGTACTTTCTCGATTCGTATGCTAGTTACTAGCGTAGGACACAGTGATACGAAAAAGGATTTCTCCTTCGTCAACCAATGAAGAATGACGCTTACAATCATATGTTAGATAGCAAGAAGATGCATCTGAGTTGATTTCAAGTCATCGTAAAATAGGGATGCCAGTTTCGCGTCTCATACTCAGATAACTGAAATGATAGACAATCTGATGCTCTTAGAAGCTTGTAATCATACGCGAATTTCCGTTCCTAGGGTTTCACATGTATATAAGAGTTTCTAAATTTGAATATGGGAGTTCGGTATGGATGTCAATGAAGAGAAGATACACTTCCAAACGTGGAAACTTTTATATAGCTATAGATATCTAGGAACAAGATTTGATGTGTAGTTGAAAATATCTAAGAGCAGGAATTCGATATGATTTCACTTATTTAAGTATAGGACACGAGACGGACATCCTTGGTTTACTGTTACTTGAAAACACGTAAGATACCCCTCTGCCTGCTGTCTGACATATGATTGTAATCCTCATCCTTCACTGATTTTTTCAACGGGAATTTTTTTTTACATCAATGTATCCCACGGTATGAGTCAACATATAAAAATAAAAAGAACGCGGCTATTAACGCTCACTTGCATACTGTCATCTGAATAAGTAATACACACTCTATTCTTTTTCGTCGACACTTGCGTGGCATCATTGAAAATTGTGTTACAAATAAGCTGGTGTGCATAGTTCTTTTCGTTGTGATACTTTCTGTAACTTGTTTGGTACAACAAATGACACAAAGTGAAGAGCAAAAATTTTATCTTCATCAGTTGGTTCCGCTCTTATCTCAAGACGGACCTTTAATTGATTCATTTGTGACGATGTTCTTTTACATCGCTGGCGTCTTGTTCAATAGAAGTTAGTAACCTAAATAACTGAGTACAAGTGTGATGATATCCGTTTTCTGTGCTAATAGTTCATGCTGTGATTTTTGATCATGCTGCCGATTGTGGGTAACTTTTATAAAACGAGAGCAATAGCTAAAGAGCACTCTTTGGAAGATTGAAACAGTCTATTTATTATGTAATCATCAACTATGCTACTAACGTTCAACATCATCATTGCAACGAGTAATATTGTTCAATAGCATCCGTTTGGTTAAAATTATGTATTTATTGTATAATCACTGTGTATGCCACCAATTTCAAACATGTTTCTCAAAATAAGCAAAGTAATTTAAATATATTTTATTGAACAAAATCCATACAAAAATTTAACAGAATTCTGGTTCTGTCGCTCAGCTTGAGAACTGTTTGTTTGCCATATGATACTCAATCGTTTCGTGTTCAGTGATACTATTTGTTTTAGAATCATATTATGTCTGAACTTCATTATAATCGTTAACTCAATTGTGTTATATTAATATAAACTACTTTAGTGGTAAATCAATGTTTATAAGCGTCTGTGAAAGCTATTACCAACATTTACTAGTACTTGTACCGAGTGATTCTGTTTCGAAGTTCATAAACTATATGGTTTTAATTTTAGTTAATCCATCATACATCTTCGAATTTTTACTATTCATTGCAATAAAAATTTACAAAAAAAACAAAACAATATTCAGCCTCTATTTCTCCATTAATTTTCATTTAGTTTTCATCTAGTTTGAAATAAATATAAGATGTGAATGAGTATAAGTAGGTGTCGATGTTCTCTTTATCTGCACTAATACTCACACCCGTCTCGCTACTATATGTAGATCCAGCTAGGTCGAGTATAGAAATATTGACGAGAAAACAGTGAAGCTTTATAATACTATGCATGGTAAGAGAGCTTAATCCATCGTGATTTGACTAACCTATCTTGAATACATTTAGAAACAGTCAGGCTTTAAGTTTGATCAAGAAAATTTTAGTTTGAGGTGGACAGTTTTTGAAGTTTTGTCATGCAAATAAACCAGTGTATGACGCTCCAGTTCTATTGCAAGAGAAAGCTGGTTTTGAACATAGACATTCTGATGACAATAGCTAGTTATTCATCATTTTAAAACACTGAATAATAAAGAATGATTATTTCTATCATGAGCAATGAGAATATTGTATTATTTTGTTGTTGTAATACATGATTCATCTCGGTGCAAAATAAAAAAAACATTCAAATGACCTCTAAAAGAAAACGAGAACAAAAGCACTCAATGAAGCCCATACAGAAAGAAACAATAAAATTGATTCACTCTTATTTCATCGTGCCACAAAGACAGCCAACACTTGCTGTTTACGAAGTTTATAAAAGCTAGGGAACATCGCTCTTTTCTTTGATACTGAGGGACAAACGAAATGGCGGCAACCTTTACCGACTTGGTTGGCGAACATTTGATTCAACGTGACGAACCGAAACGAGTGCCAACGAACCAACTCAATGGAAAAACTATAGCACTCTATTTCTCGTCAGCGTATTTATCTTGTTTTTCAATTAATTATATCAACTTTTTATAGGGCTCATTGGTGTCCACCCTGTCGCAATTTTACACCGAAACTGGCTGAAATTTACAAGAGAGTTCAAAATGAATTGCATGACAAGTTGGACATTGTCTTCGTCTCGCATGATGAAGATGAAAATACGTTCAATGAATACTTTACAGAAATGCCATGGAAAGCATTACCGTTCTCCGGTTTGTTCGTTTTCTTCTGACAGAACAGAAAAGGAGAAAGAGAGAGAATGGAATTATAATAATAAGGTGAAAGCCTAAGCATACTCTTTCTCATCGAGTGATCTAATAGTAATAGTTGAGGAAAATGTAATAAGAACAAATGCCGTCATTTTTGAGAGATAATTGTTTGCAAAACATAGTTAAAGGTAGCTCTGAATTCTGTAAACATCTGTTTATTCATATCGAATTCAGAAATAAATGCCATGACTCTTTCAAGATACACGACCAGAAAATATTTCTAGTTATCATTTTTTTTTATGGGATTATCATTTGCATTGGATCAAAATATTTGCCATTTTTCTATAGATATTATCATATTTGTTTTTTCGTTTCAAAACATTGATACTTTCCAAATTAATGCTGTCCCTATTTTATTTTTCCGACACAGAATAATAAATATGAATCTAAGTGAAGAATCTTGACTGAAATTCGTTCATTTAGATCGCGATCGTTTTATGAGATTGAGCGAAAAATTCCAAGTTTGTGGTATTCCAAGTTTGGTCGTTCTCACATCATCATGTGATGTTCTTACTATGGATGGCGTCGAAGAGGTGCAGTCAGTATCTGATGAAGCTTTGCAACTGTGGTCACAAGGTAAATGTGTCTTTTGGACGCGTCCACCAAGTGAAGGTGAACACGTTTGGGAAGGTATTACCTGCACTTTATGCCATATGTATCCTCTTGTCGGTACCCGTCGTGGTTGCACCCATCAGGGATGCAATATTAATCTGTGCGACGCTTGCATTTCGAACAATAAACATGAACATCCTCTCGCAGAGTATCTCATTCCTAAAAAACACTATTCATTGGAGCAAATATTTGCCTCTGTGCCTCATTTACTTGGTCCGAACAATGAGGAACAAATCGAGACAAGAACACTATGGAAAGATGATGTCAAAAGTATCGGAATATATTTTTCTGCTGACTCGTGTCCCCCAGGTCGTGATATTACATCAACATTGGCTCAATACTATACAGAAGCACAAGCCAGTAGGCATCCATTTCAATTAGTCTTTGTGTCAGCTGATGAAGATGAAACTTCGTTTAATAAATGCCGTGCCAGAATGCCCTGGCCTGCCGTTCCTTTCAATGCAGGAGCTTTATTTGAACTGTATTTTGAACGTCGTGGTTAGTAGAATCTTTCACTGTGCTACTCATTAACATTTTCGTGCATTTTAGGTATTCCATCGCTTGTAATTGTCTCAGCCGATGGAAACATTTTGACACGTCGTGGTCAAAGGTATGTTTCGAACAAAGGAGTCGATGCTCTGAAAGCTTGGGCTCAAGGAGAAAATTTGCCTCCTCTATCGGCAGATGACTTCGAATGGTGGGGCATCTATTGTGATGGGTGCAATGTGTCTCCCCTGGTTGGTCAACGTTACTATTGTTCGACATGTGGCAATTATGATCTTTGTTCAGCTTGTGAAAAGAAAGGACATGATCATCCACTTGAACTTATTCCGCAGCCGAAGGATGATGAACATTGATTAAATACTTTTCGCTTAACGTATTTCATCACTTGTTTTTGAGCATACAGAACTACTTCATTTTATTCTCACAAAATCTAGACTTCATATTTTGATAATAAATTATATCTCACAAATCTTTGAGTTTATTGCAAATTCGTCAAAATCATGTGTGAATTTGTGAAAATGATATGTGTGCAAATGTCAGTTGCTGTTATAAAAAAAAGTATGTGTTCTGGCGTCACAAATTATAGAATATGCATGTATGATCGCAGTTTTTGAGTGTGCAGGCGAAGCAGCCGACAAAAAACAAAAGGGATTCCATCTACAGCGAGCCTGGTTAAATGAACTAAAAGTCTCGTCATATCATAAAATTAAACGGAAATGTGAAACTCCAATACAGAAAAAAGGTTGTTATGACATTTAGCTGTGAAGCCCTCGTATGTATTCAACTTATTGGCCATAGTATTCGTTCTTGTGGCTGACGTTTGAATGGTAATATTAAGCTGTTACTTTAAGAAACCTTTTGATTTTGGAAGGTATTTCCACAGGACTGTTCAATCTCGGGAAAAAAAAATATATAAAATATATCCACTGCGTCATCACTTGACAAGTATTCACCGAGAAGATGCATCACAGTATTATTTTATTTTTTCTAAATATAAAAAATAAAGCCAACCTTCATCCTACATATTTTTGCACTTTTACTTTATAATTTGTATTGGTGATGTAAAAAATAGAACTAACTTTGAAAATAATACATGCTAAAATGTATTTTAGATAACCTCGCCCATTTTTCGTCTTCATAAAAAATGTCCTGCAAGGCAGATGTCTTTGAGAAATGGTTCTTTGGGTGAAAATGTTCCTGATCCTCAATAGTTGTTTTCTTTAGAAGATTATGCTATTGGAACGTAGACACTGCTGTAGTCCAACTATACTTTAGTAGATATGTTGTTTATATAGAAGATTTATTTGTATATGGAATGAATCGAATAAAAACAAAATAGTGTGCGGAAATGGGTGTGGAGTCTAGGAATAGATGTGGACCAAGAGCCGACCTACACCCACCTACATTCACAGCACAGACTCAGCCCACATCATCACCGATTATCTATTATCCATTTTAACATGAAAGAATGGTGAGTATTTTGGGAATAATTGTTGATACGAAACAAAATAGAGATCTGTGGTTTTCATTGTTTAAACAAGGAGATGAAACTGCATCGAATCATATATACCAGGCTTTCCTCACGAGTTTTCTCAGTCTCCCGCTAAGGTTTTTAAAAAATTGAGGCCTTTATATTAGGTTTACACATTGGGATTTTTTGTCAAAAAAAAGATCAGAAGAAAAGTCAATTTTTTGTGAAAAATCTACCGATAACACGTAGTAAAATGTTTATAACTCATTATTGACTGTACCTGACACCAATGGACTTAAATAATTTATAGATCTTTAGTTAATGATTCTAATGCACCCCTGAATATTAACATTGTAAAACTTTCACATTACACAATATTTTTATTTTAATAAACTTGGTTGTAGACTATGAGAAAGTTTGTTAGAAAAATCTGGTACAAACGATTCGAGACAGTATCAAGTCATCTTGTAAATAGTGGGAAAATGCAAACCTCTCTTTTGTTTCTATTACAAGCTATTCTAAAAATACCTATTCTTGTTTTATTTTGAAATAGATAATAGTTCACGTAAATACGATTAATGACCCCTATTAGAATTTCTGTTTCGAAGATTTGAACACTAGTGTTCACTAAGGTCTTCTCAAATATCATGTAAACTAAACAGTACTTCTTATGATAGATTTGCATGAGACAATGACCAACACAATATCTCTTTTTCAGTAATTCACTTCTAATGATTGCAGGAAGAGCAGAGCACATTTTCATTTTCTTGTTCTTCTTTTCATGCATCATTTCTTTGCCAGTTGACTTCGAAAATCTAATTGTTGTTTATGCGAAATCCTTTTTTTGTCTGTTTCACCTTTCGCCACCATTTTATTCAAGGAAAATAATTGAATAATCAATCTTATGCATCTCTATCTGTAAAACGGACAGTGTTGCCAGTGGTTCAAGCTATTTTTTACTAGACTTTCTGTATGACAACTATGTTCAGAATAAAAAGTAAACTAGTAGCTAGTGATCAACAACAAAAGGAGTCAATGTGACTCTGAAATGAATAACTATCTATGCAACAATTCGTTTGTTTGTTATTGTTGTAACAATGATGTAGACATTTCCAAACAATGAAAAAATACCAATAGAACTTATCTACTGTTGTCAGTTCGAAGAACTCGCAGACATTTATTCATTTGTGGCGTGTTCAGTCGCGCGATCTCTAATCTAAAATCTTGCTCCATTCAGCAATTGACAATTTGTTTTCATTTCGTCGAACTCCAGTGCTTATATTTATCTGGGGGAACAATTGAAAAAGGCTCCATCGTCATCTCACTCTAACGCTCACATTAGATGGTATTTTGATATCGATGTAAAAAGAAACACTTCGAGGTGATTATTGTCCGTCTATGCTAACGATCGAATAGTTGTACCATTCTCAGCGATAACAAAGCAATGTCATTCAATCATAATTCTTGCTTTAAAATGGAAATTGAACCTGGTCATCATCAATTGCCTATAGCTATAGTCGATCGAGTGCTAACGACTAGTTATAATGGAACGATTGCTGGTATCGCTAAAAAAAAGCGCTTATTTTGGAACTCAAACATGACAAAATCAGAAATGAGCATGTCTTGACAGCCGTGAAATTCGACGATATGAGGATTAGAAATGATGAAACAACTTCAATAACGAAGAATCAAATTAAAGAGTTCGTCCTAAATTACAATTTCTTAAGTCCATAAACGGTCTGTGCCAGCGTGAAAAAAAAGAAAAAGTAGAATTAATGACGACATGGTCTCACACAGAATTTCCATTGATATTTTTAAAGATGATTGATATCTATAAATGACTAAATCTTTAATGTTCCGAACTGGGTATCTTACATACAGCTGAGTTACTCATCTTAGGCTTTGTGTTATTCATCTAGGAGCTCACCATATTCATTTAGTCCAATCTACAACAGCTCAATGACACGTAATTTCAGCTTTTTTTCAACACACAGAATGTAGACATCGACGGCTCGACGAAATTAGTAACTAGAAAAGAAAGTGCCAAAATCGAAAGTGTATAACCCAATAGCTAATTCGCCATTGTTTGTCATTTGATCAGTGAACAAAACTTTGATGGTCTTTGGCATTCGAATAGTTAGAGTATTGAGCACTTCACTAGAAAATATCTGGTCATTGTTCAATAAATCTATTCTCAAACAATTAATGAAATACTTCTCTCATGTGTTGTTATCGCCACGTTTGAATCGTGCTGCACAACGTTCGAATCATTATGGCATATTATCGTGAAAAAAGATCGTTAACGTCCAACTAATTTTATTCGTAAAGAATCAAAAAGTTTTGACGATATGCTTGACAAGGTTCGCGAAAAACTATAAGTTAAATATTTGAGACCCGGAGAGAAAGTCCTAAATTCATTGAAAGAAATAAAGATAATCGAAAATGGAATTCTTAGTTATTGTTATATCATTTTTGAACAATTTTTCGAGCTCTCTTTTAGTTACACACATTCGTTTAGAAAAAAAAATCAGTGAATTATTCTTTATACATCGTTCTGCCGAAAAACGAAATAAAGTCCGAATCGCACGGGATTCTGAAAAAATGCGAGAAAATTGAGAAAAAAAAACACTTTTTCAGAGAATCACTTTATGATTCTTTTTCAAGCTTGATTACAAGTGAGTAAGAGATTGTAAACTGAAAACATAAGATTTGGTAAATTTATTTAAGGATACTTCTGAAACTTGTACATGTATCGTACTTAAATAGGCCACTGTTCAATAATTATCAAAATCAGTCATCAATGTCAATCGAGTAATAGGTACAACACCTGTGCCATACGCACAAATCTCGAGCGAAAATTGATCGTTCGAAACGAAAAAAAAAACAATGCTTATGTCTTTATTTTTCGCTTGACATGAAAAGGGCACGAGAATACCTTTCACAATTAATCGCATGAAATATCATGAAGATAAAAAAGTATTAGAATGACATTAGAGCAATATTGAGTTTCATTCAAATGTTTGCTTCGGTGATATATGATGAATCCCATTTACAATTTCAAGATCAAAAACGAGAGAGCGCAAATTTTGTACAATAGATTTCAAATATCTCATCATTTTTTCTACCGAATTGTTACATTTTCAGAACCGTGTCATCACTCCAGTTTTCTAATTCTAGCTAGGTATTTTTTATTTTATTACTTTTCGATTAAGGTACACTGAAAAAGCATGTTAATTCGATAGAAAAAGCTTGTGTGCGCTATGCGAACGAATTTTTCTTCTGTTTATTTTTTTAGATTTGAAGACATGAATTTAAAATTCGGTTTGGATGTGATCACCCGTGCCCGTTATTTTCTGTAGAATATTTGGAACATTCGTTCAAGTTTCGATCAGTCTTAATCACAAGATCTTTTAATATCGCATGATTGTGATAGTTAACACTTTTTTATTTGATTTATACAAATGTGTTGCTCTTTGGATAAAAATGTTGTAATAGGCAAATTTCGTAGTGAAGAGATTTTATTCTGTTTCTAGAACTGATTCATGAGTGTTCTCATCAATCAGAAAATTAGAAAATTAAACTATTATTGAGAAAGAAATGCGTGAAACATAAAAGAAACATCTTATGCAGCAGTTACGAGAAGATATACGTGCTTATTACTGGTTTATTGAGAGACAAACACGGAAGACGTGCATTGTTACAATGACACAACAAGACTAATTCGTGTTATAATTGATCTAGCAGAGCAACACTTTATTGTTATAGACTCGAAGAAATATGTTAAATCATAGCTGTAGAAAGTAGCGCAGAATCAATTATTTTAGATGTAAAAATTTGTAGAGAGTAGTACAGTAAATTGAGAACGGTCACTACTGTGTGAAA